TGCCTGTGTGTGTGTGTGTGCGTGTTTCTTGTGTAAGCTGAAAGACGCGAAAAATTATTGAAATATCTATTGCTCCAAGGGTTCAGGGGATCTCGTAGTCGAGCAGTCTCGACTAGAGCTTTCTTACTTGTTAATTTTAATTTTTTTTTAACATATTATATATATATTTTTTTTATATACAAGGGATCGTTTGTTGAGTTGCACGCTCTTTCGCATACGAAGTAGTATTCACTGTAGCAATCCACACTATACCAAGACTGATCCAATCCCATAACCATGCATCCCTCAGTCCCAATCAAATTCATTTGTGGCTCATTATTTCCCCATTTCTTATAGCCCAGAGGTATTCCAAGCCCTTGCCACGTCCATGCATTGAGATCCCCCAAGTTGCTGGCGCCAAGCCAGAAGCCCTCCTGTCCCAGCAGGTGTCCTGGACAAAAATTAATCGATTGATCGATAAACTACAAATGTTAAATGCAAGTAGATACCATTGGCAGCTATGCTATGTATCAGTAGGAGCTGCTGCTCGTAGTTTGTGACTGTGGCCAGAATCATATTGGATTTGTGGCATATTTGATTCGCCTGGAACCAATTAACCTAATATAAAAGTATTGGATTATATATATGCATACATATTTGGAGCCACAACATCTTAACCGTTCTTACCTTGCCAAAAGTTGCAACGATATATCTATCTTTGGCCGTCTGAAAGCTCCCAAGGGACAAACAGCAAATAAGCAGCAGAAGTCGAAACATTTTGTCAAGAATTTGTTCTGGTATTTCTGTTCGGCGGTATTTATATTGACTCGGTAAAAATCGCATCAGAAATCGTTCAGAAAGCAATTAGTAACTAAAAGGTTTAATGAGGACACCCGTGGTTCCAGCAAAACTGTCCGTTTGAAGATGCTGTCCATATTTGTTAACTAAATATAAATATGTAATAATTTTATATCAATTATAAGTATATAAAATATAGGTAAGAACGTTGCAGTCGGGCGTTACCGAAATGCTCATTCACATCCCATCAGCAATTTAGCAGCTAAGTTTATCTCTAATACTATAGAAAATGCAGTTTTTCTCGATTTGCCACGCTCATCCTGGGCGTAGACACCTCATATTTGGTCAGATTTTAGAACGAGCTAACGGTACCCTAACTGCAAACTTTGAATGCTTACGCTCAAAAAAGGTGGAAATTAAAGGGTAAAGGGTAGATTTTAACTTAAAGACTAAATATTACTTGAAGTGTGTCTAGCTTAATACCATTATCGAAGCTATCATATATAAATAAATACACGATCAAATGAAAATTCTGAGTTATGCTACAATCAATATAAATTACATATTTTATTTGAGTTATAGGCATTGGTACCTAATAATTTATTATTATTTATTTATTAGCTAAAACACAAGAGACAAGTTATAAAATGGCTAATGAACTTAAATGATGAACTTAATCCAAACATAGTTTCGGATGTCAAGTCTTTTATGTTGCAATTTTCGTAGGACCGATGCTCCAATTTGTAATTAACGTAAAGTGATATTCTATTGGAGAGCCGCTTTTTATTCGTGGTAATCTATAAATACTTAAAGTATTTTGCATTCCTCAGCGCCCGACTGCAATGTATTAATTTTCATTGCATTAAATTAGCTGGAGTGTCTGATATTATTTTATTCCAGATAATGTTGACAGATAAGCTGAAAGTTATGTAATATAATACCTATTATATCGATTACAAAGTAATTGAAGATATTTATTTGCATAAACAAAATTTCCTCTTTTTAAAGCTTTTTTTTTACGAAGATACTTAAATACAATCTTACTTTGGAACTCATTACATATGATGATAAAATGGTCTTAACTAACTTATGAATGACAATGATGGATGCCTTACAAAATTAGATTTCAACGCTAAAAATTGCCTATAAAAGCAAATAGCCCGTGGAACTCTTCACAAAATGAAGTCTCTAGCTCTCTGTATTTTCTGGCTGCTCAGCGTTGTGGCATGGGCTGAATCTAAAGTCGTGCCGTCCGACGACAATGATGATGATGCTCAACCCATTTTAAATTATTTCACTCATAGTGATGCGGAATACGGCATAAGCCTGCACAAGGTACAAGTAATTGAAAATTCGCTGGAGCAAATAACCATATTTTTATCATTATTCTTTCAAATGTAGTTGACTTGGTATGAGGCACAGCTCTATTGTGCTACACAGAAGTATGTTCTAGCCAACATTCCTTCATACAGTGCTCAGATCGCGTTAACCCAATTTATCCAAGGCTCTGGTATGAACAACCTTATGTTACTCACTAACGAACCCATCTGGGTCTCGGGTACAAATCAGGGACTTGCCAGACAATATGTATGGCATAGCAGTGGGGCTAGGTTTTCTTATGACAACTTCCTCAGGACCCCAAATTCTGCCAACCGTTGCGTCGCAATTAATGGAATCACAGGCGACTGGACCGATGAAAATTGCAGAGACAAGCATTACTTTGTCTGCGAAAAACAAACATGCCCTGAATAACAAATCTATATGTGCATGTATTTTAAAATTCATTTATATCTACGGGCATAAAAGAAACTAAATAAAAAGTTTTCAATTACTATCAGAATAAGAAATATTTTCTATACTCTAGCTACATCTGAGAGGGAGTAGAAATTCCAGACAGTTGGGTTTTATTAACCGGGAGTTAAACTGGACAATAAGAAAGGTAATTGGCAAAATTTATTTTTGGAATAAAAAAGTTGTTAACAGACGCCAACAACACGCGGTGTTCCCAAGCGGTCCCCCATCTAAGTACTAACCGCGCCCGACGTTGCTTAATTTCGGTGATCGGACGAGAACCGATGTA